ATAGAAACGTAGGTTTATTTCGATAGAGGCATGCTGAATACAAAGGGCTGAAATAAATGAGTAATCGTTAACCTAAAATAATAGAACATTTTCATAAAAATTAATATTTTTTCTTGAACATTAACTTACCAGATACTGAATAACTGCACAAATTAATAAGCGTCACACAAATAAACCTATTTTTCTTGTTCTCCAAAATCGTAATATTTCCTGTTGTGCACACCAAACATGTCAGTACAAGACTAATGACTGCCTAATGACAGGCAATCGGCTGCTAAAATATTCGCTGCTAGTATTAGTGGAGAGAAGTGGTACGCCTGCGCATAAGGCGCGTAAGGGAAATGAATGCGACACGATTAAAGTAATCAGTCATTAGTGAACGTTGTAGTTCGTTATTAATAATTATGTATAACAGGATATTATAAAAATTAAGTTACGAAATTTTTATTAAAATGTCTCTTACATACCATTATATTGGCTAGGCCGCAAAAACATTTGTTGTGGGCCGCATGCAGCCCGCGGGCCGCGAGTTTGACATGCTTGGTGTACAGTGATGATGGTGTAGTCCCAGATTCCCTGTATTCCTGTCTCTACTCACTAGCTCTGTGGCCTTGATCAAATTCTCTCACTTCTGTGTCTCAGTTTTCTCATCTGTAAAATGGGATATTAATTCATATTTCATAGAGCGTGAGTGGGAAACAAGGTAATGTCCCTGGCACCTGGTACATTCTACCTTTCTGCTCTCCTCGCTGGTGTTTCTCCACAACACTTGTCTCATTTAGCCTTGCTAGTTTCCTTTTCTGCTGATTGTCCCTCCCCTCCCACTAGACCTTAGGCTCCGAGAGGATGAGGTTTTGTCTGCTTTGTTCATTACTGTACCTTCCACACTCAGAGCAGTGCCTTGCACAGAGCAGGCACTCGTGAGTAAGTGAGGAGCATAGACAGGCAAAGGCCTTAGAAACAGACTCAGGTTTCATCCCAACTTTCACAGGTAATTCCTGTGTGATCCTTGGAAAGTTACTCAACCTCTCTGAGCTTCCAGGATCCTCATCTGTTAAGTGGGGGTAACAGTAGTGCCTAACTCACAGGGTTATTGAGAGGATTATATGAATTAATATTTTCAAAGTACTCAGAACCGGTACAGACTAAACACAATATAGTGTTTAGTAGTAATATTATTTATCAAATGAGTGAAAACAGGTGTCACCCCAAACAATGTGAGCAACTTGTGAGCAAGATCTTTGGTTCATTCCTCAAACCTTCCTGCTCCTTCTAATACAGACTTTTGTACTTTTATGAATAGTGGAGGGGCATCACACACACACTCACACACGTATATGAAAGCACTATGTCTAAGTCCAGGCACTGGGATATAACAGTCTGCATCCCAGGCAGTGCCTAACGTGTAAGGTGATATTTCACTAAGAAATGAATGTCTGAAAAGTCTCCATTCCTTACAAGTCACCTCTTCAGAACTTCCTTTATTTTAGCTTTAGTCTCCTCCAGGGTAGGAAGAAAAAATGCATGGCTCACAATGCTTAAAGATTTTTCCTCCTACCCAGATAGAAGGAAGAAAATTGTCCAGGTCAGATTCTAACTCAGAAAAGTTAAAAACCATCCCTTGTGTCTGGATATTGTCCCTCCCACTCCCTTGCAGCAGATGCTGGTTATTTTGTAGCTGGAAGCCAGACTGCCTTGTTGTGTCTCTTTTTGGGCCAAAGGCCTTTTGCCAAAATAGAGGTGGTAAAATAAAAGGGGGGGGGGGCCTCCACAGAGACAGCTGCTGGTCCAGTGCGCGGACAGATGGGCATCAGTGGGCTTGGTCAGGGCTCCCAGCCGACACCAGCCTCAGTCAGAATGTCGGTTGCCACTTGGAAGTGCGGTTCGTGGGTGGTTCGTACTATCAGGGCCCAACACCTAGCAGCTCTCCCATCTGCAGTGTGATTATGAGAGGAGCAGCCATTCGGCTGGTGAGCGGCAGTGCGAGGAAAGGGGGCCAACCAAAAGGAGGAGATTGATCACAGCTTTCCTCCCCCTCTCCCCACCCCCCACCCCCGCCTGGAGGTCCCGGAAGTGTCCTCCTTTAGGAATGTTCCACTCTTAGGACAGGATGGGGACTCTGCTGAGGAGCTTAGAGGCCGTGTGGCTGGGTGGTGACCAGCACAGTAACCAGTCCAGGCACTGCCAGCCAGCTCATCGCTCCCCCGCCCTGTGTCCTGCCTGTCAAAGCGGGAGCGACAGGGTGGCCACATGACAGGGTTTGGGGGATTGTTATGAAATGACGCCTTTCAAGCGCCAAGCCCAACGCAGGACTCAATAGGACACTGGTGGTTTTCAAACCTTTCCAAAAACGCTATGCTTACACCTGTCAGAATTCAATCTGAGACTCCGTCGCCCCTCACTGGCCCTCCCCCTTTGTAAAGTGTTCCTTTTAAGTCTGAAAAAAACATGCAAGTCAAATAAAAAGGCAGTGAGAAGTACTGTTCGTCCCCACTCCCACCCCCGTGACCTTAACACAATTCCCAGGGAAGCAAATAGCATTTAGTGAAACATTTCATTCCAAGGCCAACGCTTCTGGGTTTTGGGGGCTGTGTTTTTTCAGCTCCAACTGCAGTTTGGGAACAAAGAGGGTGCTCTTCCCATCGGGAGTAAAGACGAGACTCTTTTAACTTATAAATCGGAGTTTTGTACAGGGGGGAGGAGGGGCAAAAATGAGTAGCTGTTGTGTGTGATTAAAACTCAGGGAAGATTCTGGGCAAACAGACCAGCAGCGTCTGGGCCCCTGGGGACCACGCAGAGGTCCAAGCTGCTCCTGAGCAGGCTGGGCAGGGCTGGGACGTGCCCTGCTCTCTGGCCGGCACACCTGGTTAAATGTGGGGGCCTCTGCTGTGTGCACTGCTGCCGTGTACTGTTTCATTTTCACTCCAGGGGTCCTCCCCTACCTCTTGGGGATTCTGGGCTGTCACGCTCGTCCCTTTGAAGTGCGGCTCTAAAAATACAGGGAGGAAGGCACCCTGGCCTCTGCCAGGCCGGACCTAGAGCCGACCCAGATACTACCTGCCGGGAAGAGCTCTGAGGTCTGTCCAGGGCTAAAGAAATCTTCTGATAAAAAAAGGCAAGCTCCATATTGGGCGTTTTCGTCTTTGTTGTCTAATCCAACGCTTTTGGCTTTTTTGTTTCTTCCAAACATTGCAGACCCCATAGTTCTCCGTAGATGTTAGCAGACACCACGCGCAGTGAACTGTGTCTGTGCAAATCCCAGCCAGTGTGTATGGCCCGGAATTGGGCCTTCCTTTATCTGCGGGGATCGCAGGGTAAATCTGATTCTGGAAGTACACGTGCCATCGCTTCTGCTCTGGTTTTTTTGGGCCCCATGTGCTTGTTTCATAGCGATTAGCATGGCTGTCGAGTGCTCAGGCTGCACTCGGGCCACCTGAGTTCCAGTTGTACGGCTTCGGGATGGTTCCTCGGCCTGAGCTGGTTCCTCAGCCTGAGCCGGTTCCTCGGCCTGAGCTGGTGTTGCTCCTCTGGAAAGTGGAAAGAGCAACAGTATCTACTTCCAGGTTTTGGGAAGATGAAAGCAGACAGCGGATGGACAGAATCATGCGAGTGCTACCTGGCCCAGAGAACGTGCTCAATATAGTGCAGTGATGGCGAACCTATGACACGCGTGTCAGAAGTGACACGCGAACTCATTTTTTTGGTTGATTTTTCTTTGTTAAATGGCATTTAAATATATAAAATAAATTCAAAAATATAAATCTTTGTTTTACTATGGTTGCAAATATCAAAAAATTTCTATATGTGACATGGCACCAGAGTTAAGTTAGGGTTTTTCAAAATGCTGACACGCGGAGCTCAAAAGGTTCACCATCACTGATCTAGTGTCATCATTGCCCCCAGGTCTGAGCCCTAAGGCGTTAGTGCCTCTTGCGGATGGAACCACAGACCTGGAGGCTTAAAACAACACACATTTACTACTTTACTGTTCTGGGGCTCAGCAACCTAAACTGGGTCTCACAGAGGTAAAGTCAAGGTGCTGGCTGGGCTGGTTGCTCCTGGGGGCTGCGGGGGAAAGCCCACTTCCTGTCCAGAGGCGCTGGCAGTCCTGGCTCTGTCCTGTCCTCAAGCCAGCAGGGAGCAGCTTCCAGCCTCAGGCTCTGCTGCTGTCCTCACACCTGCCCTCTGGCCCTCCTGCCTCCCTCACAGGGACTCTTATGATCACATGGGTCCCACTCAGAGAGTCCAGGTTGAACTGCCCATGTAAATCCTGAACCTAATCACACCTGCAAGATCCTCTTGTAAGGTGACAGTCTCAGCTTCTGGGGACTAGGACTTGGACATCTTTGGGGCCATCATTCTGCCCATCCTACTAGTTCCCAGCCTTCCACTGTATTAGTGGCTAAGTGGGCATTAATTAGCCTCAGCTCCCCAAGTAACACAGAGGGTAGCTGGGCTCCCACTGTGGAGGGACGAGTGGAGCACTGTGTGATGTGGAAGCTGGTGACCACCACTGACATCCCTGCTCCTGACCTGGAGGCTCCCCCTTCTTTGGTTTGTGCACAGAACCCCAGCAAAACCACCACGACAACAGTCAGCGACCTCAGCAAAACAGAGGAGAAAAAGCAAAGCAAGTCACAGCAGCTGAAGAAGGTTTTCCAAGAATATGGAGCCGTCGGCATGTCGGTGCACATTGGAATCTCCTTAGTCTCCCTGGGCATGTTTTACATGGTTGTTTCGAGGTGAGATTGCTGACAGTAACAAATGTTTGTTTTCTACTGTCATGGGAGGTTTTTTGGGAATAATTACTTTCTGTCCAAGACTTTTTATTCATCTAGCTACTGTCATCACATTTTTTAAAATAATGTAAATCTCAGAGCCAAATCGTTGTCTCAGTGTAACCCCTTGCTCTAATAACTGTTTTGTTTTTGCCTCTTTGCCCTCCAGTGGTGTGGACATGTCAGCCATCCTGCTTAAGCTCGGATTTAAGGAGTCATTGGTCCAGTCAAAAATGGCCGCGGGCACAAGCACCTTCGTGGTGGCCTACGCCATCCACAAGCTGTTTGCACCCGTCAGAATCAGCATCACCTTGGTTTCCGTGCCCTTGCTTGTCAGGTATTTTCGGAAAGTGGGATTTTTTAAACCTCCCCCTGCAAACCCTTGATGAACTCTTCAACTGTGGGCCTGGAGACCCCTTTCTGTTAAATTACACAATTCGGATTGATTTTAAGGTTGTAGGGATTTGTTTGTTTGTTTGTTTGTTTGGGGGGGCAGGGGCTACTTTCTGTGTTCTCATGGATAAGTTTTACTTTTGCCAGCAAAATTCGAGTGTTTAAGTAATTGTAATTTGTCTTGCTTTATAAATTTTGTTAGGGCTACTCACCATAGGGCTTATATGCATTATCTAAATTGTCAGCAAAACATCACAAATGAGTCGTCATCGTCAGCTGTTAGCTTACTAGCGTACTTTAGAACTGTTCCTCTGAAAGATGGCCCTAGGGGTCCATCTTTGTTCACATTCTTAAAGAGCAACGATTCATTAAGCTAATTTTAAAATTCCCTTTCCTCCAGTATTTGTGGTCAGGCTGCCTGCGGTTTAATATGCAATATTCTGCAGAACAGCTGCCAGTGTTGCCATTAATGAAGCAGAATTGAAGACTTAACAATATGTAATAATTAGCATCAACACCTTTACATTCATTACACTTGTCTGGGGGAAAGGAAAACAAGTATTTCCGGTGTTTCCTTAGTCCCCAAATCCCGTCAAATCCAGACAAGCCGGGGCCTAGCTCAGGTTTTTCTCAAATTTCATGAAAGTAGGTCAGGGTCATTTGTCTCTGTCCAGGTGAAATGTGGAAACTTGTCCAGCGGTAATGGCGTCCTGTGGCTCCTGCAGCCCAGGTCCTCAGAGGATGTGGACATTGCACATATAGAAAGCTGAGACAGTCCTGGCCTAACCCTGTAGCTCAAACTCCAAACATTCCAGAACTGTCAGTGTTTACATTCTGTTGCTGCTTATATTTTTCAACTATGTTAAAATTATGTACAGTAACAGAAAGATTTTGAATCTCGCTCTAAAAAGAGTAGTAGCACTTGCTATACATGGAAGACAACTGTGAAATATAGGAGGCGGGGGAGGGAAGGAATGTCTCCATTGCCTGCCCGGGAGGAGCCGTCCTGTGGGACTCAGCATCAGTCCACGCTGCTGCCCTCCAGGCTGCACTCACACTGAGCTCTGGCTCCACACTCTGGGAAGCGCAGTCTAACCAGTTCTGCCCTGGTCAAGGGAGTTAGTTGTGTTTCTCTTTCTGGCTCCCTTTTTTGCCCCCCATCTCCCAGTTTGTTTAATTACATTGGGACAATCAGAAAACTAAAGGTACTGTATACTCTGACAGTCCTGATTTTATGATCTGGCTGTTGACAGTTCCCTAGTAATCCATGTCAATCACTTCAGTTTTACAAATGTCATTATGGGACGAATTCCCCATTTGTAAGATCTCTAGAGTGGATCATTTTGTTGTATTCCTTTCAAAGCAACTAGCTCAGTGCCAAAAGGTTTTACCAGTTTCAGGTTGAAACTGTCTTTCTGGGACATCCACACAGCGGATCGAGATGCCCGATACTAGTTCGAGGTCACTTCATGTGGATCAGACCAGCATTTTCTTTTCTTTTTTTTAGTATGTTTTTATTGATTTTAGAGAAAAGGATAGAAACATCAGTGAGAGAGAAACATGATTGGCTGCCTTCTGCACGCCCCCCACCGGGGATTGAGCCCACAACCCAGGTATGTCCTGACAGGAAATCATGGGTTGATGCTCAACCATTGAGGCACACTGGCCTGGGAGACCAGCATTTTCATCTCATCTGTCTTTATTTAAACCATTGGCTTCACGCTTCTAACCCCTTCCTATATCAAACCGATCCCTCGTAATGCCTATGCAAAAAAAACACAAAAACCTGACTCCTACAGATTTAAGGGCTTAGATTTTAAACTTTGATTCTGTGTTTGGAGTGACGGGAGTGGACTGAAAGGGCAAGCAATAAAACTAATTATCACATCAAATAGCCATATCATCTCTTCTAAGCCCCGACTCCACTCCTCTCCCATGGCCAGTGGTCAGAACAGAACAGCAGAACCGAGAGGGTGAGGAAATTAAAGGATCATTATGTCAGCTTACCAACAAGATCTACAAATGGCTTGTATTTTCACTGTTTTTATGCAACTAGAAATAAAACGGATGATCTATTTTTAACATGTAAAGCCATTGTTCACCTCTCATTTTTTTATCTAACAAAATGAGCAGCTTAAGTGCCGTGAAACAAACCTCTCTGTAGTTTATGAAACTTTGCTCTTCTGGTGAGCAATAATTGATGCTGATTGTGAAGCAGCACTGTGTGACTATAATGGGCTATATTCTTGCTGTGTGCGATTCTGGTTGGGGAAACGGCAGAAGTTTAGCTACTATAACAGGTAAAGTTAGTCACGTCATATTAACTATAGCTGGGGTGGAGGGTACATGAAGTATTACTACTTTGGAAAGTTGGTTCAGCTCAAAGCTAATTGGACACTGCAGTTGTGTTTTAAAGTTGCCATGACTACTTCATCAACATTGATATGGAAGTGGGTGTTGGCCACTTCCTTATATTTAGGACATTTTTTATATTTAGTCTCTTGCATTGAAAGTTGGCCATGAAAGCATATTTTCTACTAATTCTCAGTAAATTCAAAACTTCCACCTTTTCCTTCGTCCTTGTCAAGTTGACCATCTTTGGTTGATGAGCAGATGACATTGGCAGCTAGAAACAGATATGTAACTGCATGTTAGGAGGCACATAGAACATGAGACCAAAAATGGGACAGACCTGCTTCTTGTGGCACCTGCTCATTTCCAGGCCAACAGTGAACAGGTGAAGTCACCCCCATACTCCAGACCCATGTTTGTGTATTTGTTTCAAGTGTACACATATGCTGTAACTCCAGTGTAATAGAAAAACAAGCCCCCCAGGTGTGCCATGGAGCCAGGTGACCGGGGAGCACAGAAAGAAGCCTCCAGCTGTGTTGAAGGGGCTTCCACTTTTATAAGCCACAGTGAACAATGGTCAAGCCCAGATCCCTGTTTGGGGAAGAATGAGAGATTCTGGTTAAGGGAACATTCCTTCACCAGAGAATCAAGACAGAGACCACACTTGGAAAGTCAGCTTGCAAAGAACCAGCTCACCCCGTGTATGGGGCTCTTTGCCATCCTGCTGAGACCAGGTCAGAGCCCCGAGGTGGGCAGGCGGGGATGTGGATGCCCATGACTCCTCCCCCTATCTCCTGACCACCTGCAGCACTGGCTCAGAGCCCTCCTCCGCTCAGTCCCTGTGCAGCCCGGGAGCACCCACTTCTGCTGAGTGACTGTCAGTCGAGTCCCCAGGATGAGGACCACCCACTGAGGAGTCCAGCTCCATGAGCTGGGCTGTCACCGAGCACTGCACTGCACGTCCACTGCCTAGAAAAGGAACTAACACTTCATGGGCACACGGCACAGTTGAAGGATGGATGTCGCACCATCTGCCACGCGGTCACAGCCATAGCTCCCCACTCCCGTGCCATGTTTCCCGCCATCCTCCTTCAGCAGCAGGGACTTCTCACCACACCAGCCTCCAACCTTTAAATCCTCCATGTCCTTCAAGTCTCAGATGCCACTTGCTGGGCACCTCTCCCAACTCCTAATTACCCCATCACAATCTGTCCCCTCCTGCCCCCCACCCATGGTCAGTGGCCATTCTCCCAAGCTGTGTCCCCCACCACTGCAAGTGAGAGAATGGAGGTGTTCGCATGCCAGCCTGGCTCCAGAACCTCAGCCTTGACACCACAGCCCTGCACAGGCCTCTCT